TGATCGCCCGCTACATTAATTCTTTTCACCCGTTTTCATTCACCCGAGGTGAACGGAAATTGAAATTCAAAATATCCAATCTTCATTTCGTTCCCAATTTCTTACTTCTCTAGCAGATATTACTGCCTAAATCAAGGGTGAGAGGACATTACTATTGATTTCCTCAGATCCAAAATTTTTGGTTTATTTTCTCATAACGGTGGTCCATGCTAATCGGGCGATCATAAAATTACAACATTGGAACAAATTTTCAATAACAATAGCAAATAGCACAATGTGTCTTTTACATAACACATGTAAAAGACATTTATCAATAGCACCTATGTTCATGATACTCTATTCCTACTCCTACACTTAATGTGCTCGCTTGGCAAATTATTGGTCAATTTCTAAAATGCCCGAATTCTTGAGCACATTATGATTTATTCGCAGACTGAGTTGAATTACAATCTCACAATTAGTGAGGTGTGCTCTATTGTTGAAATGTAAAATCATGCAGGAATGTAACCGTTTTTATTGCTGGATGAAGTTTTGGGGTTGATTGATCCGCTGTTGAATTGACTGCTGCATTGTTGTTGAAGTTGTTGTCGTTGTCGCCCTTCTCACACGTTCCCACTAGTCGATGTGGAGCTGGTATTCAGCCCCGATCTGTTCCATTAGATCGGGGTTGTCCTCCTTGAATCGCTTCAGGAAGGAGCAACATTGGTCGGCCCTCCTCGCCGCCTCCGAGGTGAGGTGCCTTTTGCGGGGGTTCGACACCATCACCTCATCTGCGCCCTCCTCTGGCACCGCGAAGTGTGAGTTGTCGCGGCCCAGGATCATGAGGCGCGCGGCGGCGGTTTTTCGTGCCTCCATCGTCCGTTTGGAGGCACCGATGCACCTCTCGGTTCGGTGCGAGTCCATAACCACCTTGATTGCGTCCTCCGAGAGGTGCTCCGAGGGCATCGCAATGACGTGGCCGCACCACGTGCAGAGGGCTGAAATTCATACCAGTTCAACTTTCAAATTTTTCCATTACCATCGAGCACAAAAGAATCATTCCAATATCATTCATACTTCTACAAATATCAACAATTTCATGAGAGTCAATCATTCAATTAATCAATTATGTCCTAGGAATTCCTAGGAATATTATAAACTCTTCGTTGATATTCCATTTAAATAAGCAAAATCAGATATTGAATTAATTTTGAATCATCGTCAAGTTTAAAGGTAACCAGGTGAAGTGATAACGTACTTTCTTGTTGGTGACATGCGGCCCTCCGCACGTGGATTTTCCAGGCCCTCACGGTTTTGAATGGGGCTGAGGACCTGGCACAGCCGGGCAAACGGCACCCTGAAACATGGATTGTAAGTGAATAACGCTAGTAAATTTGGTGTCGTTAAGAAATCTGAAGAGAAACGATTGAATATTCGCTTTCAAAATGAATAAGCGAACGAATTATGATAGCGTAGTCAGTCAAAATCTTATGAACAGATGCAATCAATTGTATCAGAATATTGCTTCTGACGATGATCAGTGACATTAAATACCTAGTTGTTTTTCAAACCGATTACGATGGTAATAGTAATGGTAATAATGATAAATCAATGATAATGAATCGCGACATTCAAAATTAGCTTACATATTAAGTTGTTTTCGCATACTTGGTATGCGTCTGTTGATGGTGCCGAAAGCTCGGCTTGGTGTTCCGGCCTCATGCTCTCGATGTTATGAGGCCGGAACGGCTGCGGCCTTTGTTGCTCCCGTCTTCGTGGCTGCCTTGGTGAACGGGGTCTGCGCCTGAATATTATTAATGCTTAAAACGATCCAATGGCTTTGATAATTAATCATACTATTGCTTGATTAGTCATCCGAATGAAAAGGATATTCACACTAATATTGCTTCCATTTTTATAATTCTATTCACTGGGGTTTTGTCGCAGTTTTCGACTGCATTTTCATATTTTTCCGCTAACTGCTCATAAATCATTTTTCGCGCTCGAAAAACGATCAAAATTTCAAGTATCTTCTCGTTAGAAAACTAACGATTTTGATTACTTAATTACTAAGCAGTGATTGTTAGAACGTTCATAGAATAAAGAATGCGAGATGCTAAGAAATTAATGTTAGATGAAATAATCCAAATAGGTTAAGATACTTACAGCCAGTAGTGGTGGGGCTGCGCAGCCCCGCTTTCATCTTCAGGGACGGGGTCGTTGTTAGTTGGGGGTAATTCGGGGTCAGGTTGGGGTTCGGGGTCTTGGTGAGGTAGGGGGAAGGGGAAGGGGTTAAATTCGTTAAAATCGGGGTTAGGGTCAAAAAAGTCCTCGGGCTCTGGGGGAGCTGGTTCGGCTTCCATCTCATCGCCGGATGAGTGCCCATCGTCCTCTCCGCGCAATACCTGGAATGATTACCTCTTCAGTTGGAATAATCTATGAATCATTTTGGAGTCGCAAAATATATTCAAGTAAATGATTTTTCCTCGCTAATACTATTGCATAGTTATCACATTTCTTCTTCGCTAAAAATTATTACATAGTTAGCTCACTGTCACCAAAAATTATTTCTGCGGAGCGTTTCAATACAGTGAATAAGGTTTTTCAAATTGTTATCATCAAATTTCCTATCGTCTAATAAGCCAATAAGTCGCAAGTCAAAATATCGCACCATATTAATTAACAACATCAAAAGTTATATAAAATATCGAGAATGATCATTAGAATGTTCAAATTCTTTGAAATAATATCGCTTTCACTTACGTCGAGCGGAGGTTCGAACGCATATCGTTCCATTTCCG